GGGGGAAGACAATCAACAGGCGGACTCCCTGAGCAGAGCCACCATAGACCATTCAGAATGGAAACTGGATCCAACCTTGTTCCGGGAGGCAGCCCTCAGGTTCGGACAGCCAGTCCTGGACCTCTTTGCCTCCCCGGCGAACGCACAGACCCCAAGGTTTTTTTCCAGGTTCCGATCGGAGGGGGCGGAAGGGATAGATGCCCTTCGGAGCACTTGGCCCAGGGGCGTGCTCTATGCCTTCCCTCCTCTCCCACTGCTCCCAGCAACTATTCGCAAGCTCCTGCAGGAGCGAGCGGAGATAATCTTAATTGCTCCATTCTGGCCACGTCGGCCGTGGTTTGCAGATCTGGTGGATCTATCGCTCTCTCCACCGTGGAGAATCCCTCCGGACCAAATAGCTCTCAGCCAAGGGAATCTCCGGCATCCGGACCCTCAGTGGCTCCAACTAGCCGCTTGGCACTTGAGCGGGAGGGTCTATCTAGATTAGCATATTCCTCTGGGGTGATATCTGTTATGCAGGCTTCTAGACGCCCTTCTACCAACAGGATTTACGATGCCACCTGGAGAAATTTCTGCTCCTGGTGTAAGACACAGGATTTATCCCCGCTGTCTGTCACTATTCCGCACATATTGGAATATTTGCTGGAAGGACTCAACGGGTTTGTCAGTCAGCACAATACGTAGACAGGTAGCGGCATTGTCAACTGTTTTCACTTGTGAGAACCATGACTCCCTGTCTCACCATCCAGCGGTCGGTGCCTTTCTGAAGGGCGCCGCAAACACAGGTCCTCCCACGACTCATCGTTACCCGTCCTGGGATTTGCCCTTGGTTTTACAAGCGTTAACTTCTTCTCCCTTTGAACCTTTAGGTTCATGTTCTCTACATTTCCTCACCCTGAAAGTTGCCTTTTTGGTGGCTATTACATCGGCCAGGAGGATTTCAGAGCTAGCCGCTCTATCTGTCAGGAAGGATCTCTGTTTGTTCCACGAGGACAGGGTGGTCCTCCGGTTAGATCCGACATTTATTCCAAAGGTTAACACAGGTTTTCATCGTTCTCAAGAACTAGTACTACCGAACTTCTGTCCCAACCCTTCCCACCGTCTGGAGAGAGGGTGGCACACCTTGGACGTGCGCAGGGCTCTGCGTTACTACCTCAAACGTACCTCGGCCTTCCGCAAATCGGAAGCCCTGTTCATCTCCTTCCATCCTTCTACTATGGGGAGGAAGGTTTCTTCTTCCACCATCGGACGATGGATAAGGGCCTGTATCACAAGGGCTTATGCCTCGCAGTCACTTCCAGTCCCTTCTCATGTTACTGCTCATTCTACACGCAGTGCTGCGGTTTCTGCAGCCTGGTCCACCCAGGCTTCGCTTGAGGAGGTTTGCAGGGCAGTGACTTGGTCGTCCCCCTCATCCTTCATTAAACATTACAAAATTGACCGTTTTGCTGCTGCAGATGCAGCCTTCGGGAGGCGGGTACTGCAGCAAGTAGTCGTCCCTCCTGTCGAGCATGCCTAGACTCCCTCCCTTCAGGGACATGAGCGGCTTTGGTATGTCCCATTCTGCGGACTCTACACCACCCTCTGCTGGAGAAAGCGGCGTTGTTCTTACCTGAACGCCTTTTCTCAGCAGGGTGGTGTAGAGTCCACATCCCCCCCTGCTATCTTTGTCTAGGCATGAGTTTTTTTGTACCTTTCTTTTTTTTCCTTCTTACCTTTGTTTGGAGCCTTGCGTCTGCCTTTTCGCCTCGACATGTGCCAAAAACTGGGGAAACACACCCAGAGAGAGGCGTGGCAACCTTTTTTTCATCTTAGTCTGTTAAGCAGGAAAGCTATATTAACCCATTCTGTGGACTCTACACCACCCTGCTGAGAAAAGGCGTTCAGGTAAGAACAACGCCGCTTTCTTGTTATAGTGTCTTTAAACATTCCTAGTAAATATTTGATATAGAATGTGAAATAGAAATGCATTAACCCTAGTTCAGGGGTCGGCAACCTGAAACAGTGAAACAGCTACTTGGACCTGTTTCCCTCACACATGCACACGCGCAAAACAAGGGGCTTGATTGCAGAATGGAGCTTAAGGCGAGACAAGGGGCTTGATTGCAGAGTGGAGCTTAAGGCCCTGTCCCCCCCATCCAGCTCTGGTATGGACGGCTGTGCCGTCCTGGCTTCTCCTCCTCCTCTCGGAAAAGACTGCTCTCCCCCGCCCCGCGCTCTCCCTCTCTGGGACTTTCTTCTTTCCGCCTTTTGGCACGAAGGTTCCCAGGGAGCGGAGGAGGAGGCCGACGGGGGGAAGGAGCTGCTGCCGCAAATCTTCCGAGGCGGCAGCAAACGGCTACTTGGGCTCGCCTATCTCAGCCTGCTGTGGGAGGCTGGAGTTGAGGCTTCTGGCTCGCTCTGGGAGGGGGCTTGGAAAAGAGAGGACGAGAAGCGGAAAGTGGGAAAAAGGATTTCTTCTAGCTCTCTGGGGTTCTTTCGCTGGGAGGGCGAGGAAGCAGCAATTCTGCTCCATGGGAGGTGGGAGCAGGGGGCCTCTCCTTCAAACTTCGCCAAGTGACTCCAGGAGCGAAGTGAGCTCCGGGTCCCCGGAATGTCAACTTTGCAAAAGAGGGAGGCGGTGGTGGGATTAAAATAAAACGGGGGGGAGGTTGAGGAAACCCAGCAGACGCCTCTATCAGAGGGCGAGCAAGAAAGGCAAGATCAGGGAGAGGAAGAAAGCTTTCAGGCTTGTGCACAGACATAGCTGACTCCTCGTCTCCTGCCCTTGCTGCATCTCCCGTGGAGACGCGTTTACGTCTCTCTGTGTCTCTCTCTCCCATTCAAAGCCATCCTGCAGCTTGATCCTTGAAGCAATTTCAATCGGCCCCTTCATTGCCAAGCGTCCCCATGGAAGTCAATGGAGGTCCGCGGCAACTTGAAAGGCCAGCCACGGCGCTTCCAAGTCCATTGGTTTTATCGGCGAGCCACCCCCTTTGCCTCCTCGGCTTTGGCATCAACACAGATCACTGAGCAGGAGGATTGATTAGTGCGGGTCTCTCCTGGCCAAAGTAGCAATGGTTGGAACAGGGCCTTGCCAGATCTTTTGTCCAAACTCAGCCAGGTGGGTCCCCTGGCCTTTCGAGTCGCCGCGGACCTCCATTGACCTCCATGGGGACGCTTGGCAATGAAGGGGCCGATTGAAACCGCTTCAAGGATCGAGCTGCAGGATGGCTTTGAGTGGCAGAGACACACAGAGAGAGCCGCAAACGCGTCTCCACAGGAGATGCAGCACAGGCAGGAGACGAGGCGGCGGTGGCTCGCTGGTAAACCAACGGATTTGGAGGCGTCGTGGCTTTCTGGGACACCCAGCCCGGGGTCTTACAGGAGACCCAGCCCAGGCCCAATTCCCTGCCTTCCCATCTGGAGACCCCACCAGAATCCCCCCTGCAAACCAGCCTGCAGGATACTCGGGGAGGGGGAAAGCCCAGCACCGGGCCGTGGGGGGAGCCGGGCTCCCAGGATCCCCTGCGCCAAGGAGAGGAACTCCTCCGGTCAACATGCGGGCTCTGGGGCTCTACAGCGCCTGGCTTCCTCTCCACCCCAGCCTCGAGCCAGGCTCCCCAGGAAGCCGCGGGGCCTCGGCAGGTGTGGGGATGGGCTGGGGAGGGGTCCTCCCGCTCCAGTTGGGTATCCCCCTCTTCAGAAACAGCACCCGAAAGGAAAGGAAGGACGGAGCAAACTTCCCCCACTGGGATCTGGCACTCGTTGCCTACCTTCCTTTCCCGGGCGGGGATTGCCAGCCCCAGCAGATCCACCTGGCTGGCGAGAGGTCCCTTTAGAGAGCAGCTGCTGTCGCCTCCCCTCCCATCTCCCGGTGGGTTTCAGGGGAAGTGCGGGACTTCGGGGGGCTGTTCCTGTTGAAAGCGAGCTGTGCGCCTTCAGGGCTTGGGACCCCTTTCCTGGGGCTGCAGCTTGCGGGAGGGCTGGCCTGCTCAGTGGAGGCTCCAGCGGGCTGTTCCCAGGGGGGATCCCGGGGCTGCCCTGCGCGTCTCCCTGGCCACGTGCGCCTCGGACAGGGCCAGCCCAGGAAAGGGACTTCCTGGCTGCACTTCTCCCAGGGGGCGGGGTGCCCAGGCACAGGGCCAATCACTAGCCCCACGAGGGGGCAAGTCCACATGAGACAGAGAGAGAAGGGAAGCACAAGTGCCTCTCTGTCTCTGTCTCTCTCTCTGCAAATGGTGGAGGAAGCTCCGGAGCCACAGGAGAAGGCCCAAAGAGCCGCGTGCGGCTCCGGAGCCGTGTGTTGCCGACCCGTGCCCTAGTTGATTATGCATTTTGACTGTTAATGAAAAGCCTGAAACTGTTTTGACTTCAAGTGGCCACTGAGTTACATGAAGGAAAATTGAAGGGGGGGGGAGTTAAATATGGCTATAAGTTTTTTGTTATGTGATAAAAATCCAGGTGTAAGTAATGATGATCCTTCGACCAAATACTGTTTAATGCACTCAATAATACTTAATATTGGGAGTTTGCTTTGAGGTCAGAAAGAGTTGACCAAACCCATTGAGATTAAAACAACTCTTTAAAATAAGTTTTATGCATTTACATTTCATATGCATTTTAGTTCTAAGAATGAATAGAATGAGTAACATGGGACAAATAAATCATAAATAATGTCACATCTCATTCCTGCAGTCCTGGAATTGGTTGGCCTTCATCTACTTGCTTGCAAGAAGCACTGTGATGGAGAAACATTGTGATGTTTCACAATGCCAGAAAGAAAATCACCATCTTCCAAGGATGAAATACTTTCTCTGTCATGTACACAGAAAAATATGCTGGCCTTTTTGTCTGACAAAAAAAATATCTTTCAATTATTTTAAATCCTGAGGAAGAATTGGAGAAGGAACAGATGAATACCAAAAGAATGCTGGGGTTTATCATCTCCTCAGTAGGTTCAAAATTGAAGCATACTGGAATTCTCTGGAAGCAGGAAGCCCAGGAAAAGTGAAGCAGGGGACAGATGCTTCAGGTAGATTTTTTGAAGAAGTTGGTAAAATACAAAGTCTAGTAAGAATTTATGTTAGGTGGTCTAGTCTTGCAATTAGGTTTTGATCTTTTAACTGCCAGAAAGGCTGGGCAGACTACTAGAGACTTGTCTCTCGCACATTGCAGGGGTAAATGAAGGAGCCAAATCAAGTGTCCCCTAGAAAATAGGTTGTGGCAACAGGAACTGCTGAGTTGTTGGTGACAGCCAAGACCAGGGTATAAAGACCCAAAATTTGACAGGGAGGGCTATCCTGCAAAATAGTAGTTACTTATTAAATGAAATGTACTATTCTCTTTATCATTTTCACTGGATTTGTAAAAAAATCTGCTTCTCTAACAATTGGCATTTGCAGGGCTCTATATATCCTGGAATCCAGCTATATAAATTTCATCCACTCCAGGGTACTTCCTTAATTATTACTCAGAACCATTGACTCAGATCAGAAAAGTAAATGTAATCCACATACTTTATTAAATCACTTTTTTTACTAAATCTTTCTGTGTTCATCTGTACCTATGGCTTATTTAAATTTTGCAATTTCCTATCTTTTTGGCTGCTCCTTAAGCTGAAGTTTTTTTGTGGCTACATCCATATGACCAGCTTTATTATGATGTGGAATAACTAGCTTAAATAATCTGATGTCAATTTTAAATACATTTCTGATATTCCAGTTTATGTATTTAACATAGATTTGTGTAATAGGCTGTTTTAAATCAGCTAACAAGGTGTTAACTAAATATAGTGAGAAATACTTCATTTACACTGTAAGAATAAATTATTTTTGTCATGGCTTTGTGCCAGTGTGAAATTATTAAAAGTTTTTTGTATTTTATATCATCTGAAAGACAATTGTAATTTAAAATAATGTGTTTCAGACTGTACTCTAGCTGGAATTTGTTTGTTTTGCTGAAATTTAGCCTCTGAACAATTCTTTGTTGTATTTATATGAGAAAATATTTCTTCCTTACTTTTATGCAAGGAATATGCTGTGTAATATGCAAAGTAGATGTGCCCCTTGTCATTTTTCTTTCCCAGAAAACAGAACAGTGCCAATACCAGCTTAACTAATAACTGGTTTAAATATACTTTTAGTTCTCTGGGAAAAAGCACCTTGTTTATACAGGTGGGCTGATCAATCAATTATATTAGAATTGGATTTTAAAATATCACACACCTTCTTATTTCTAGATCTTTTTTTCTCCATTCTTCTTAGCATGCATCAATATTAACCTGAACTTTGTATTGTATGCTTCAATAACTGACACTTTTGAGTTTTGTTTGGTCAGAATTTTTGAAAATCAATTAACACTGAAAGAAAAGACCGGTTAAAAAATGCAAGTTTATAATAGTTGCAGCGTACTGTTTTTCTACAGCTAGTCTTATTAAGCAGTATTTTGAAAGCTCACAATAAATGGATTCTGGTTAATACCACCCTTAAAATTATTTCTGTCACTTTGTAGAGCAATTTTTCTGCTGTCTTGTAAACTAGCTCAGTGTGGTGATTAACTTGGATTGGGACAATGTTCAAGTTTTTATTGCAACTACAAAACTCGCCTGGAGACTTTGGCCCAATGGTGCTCTCTCAACCCAACTTAATTTACAAGATTCACAAAGTATGGTATAATAATTTATTGTAGTTAATTAGTAAAAATAATAATGAAAATAGTTTAGGTTTTGTTGTGTTAAATCCCAATCCAAGCTTCAATTTGAATACTGCCTGAATAACTGTAAGAAAGTAAACATTAATGGGCTTTGAATTTCCTTTTAATTTAAGGAAAAAATATTCTAATTTGGATTATGAGAAAAATATATTGTGGGTTGTTGTTGTTTTTTGCTTCTTTTAAAAGGGGGCTTTTTTTGTCTTGAGGAAATTAAATTTCCAGTGGAAAACAGCCTAATTAGGACACCTTGTTGCCAAGTCAGATCCAAATGGTTGGAAAACTTTAGAAAATGATCTTTTCTCCAGCATGAGGATGGAGAATCCACGAATGGGTTTACTTCATCTTCCTGCTCAATAGACTAAGTCTGACAAATTTGCCACGCCTCCTGCTGGGCCGGTATTATTACCCAGTTACGACTTAGTCTCTTGCCCAGCAGGACGCATAGTTGTTGGCTCCATTGTCGGACTCCGCAGGTTGTATGAACTTTCCCACTCGTGGACTTTCCAAACCTTTTCATTGCAGCGCTACAATCAGCGCTGCGATAATCTTCCCAGCTGCATTCTTCCCCTCCCCACACATTGCAGACATAGCTGCCTCAGGCTGTTGTCAGCGGCTAAAATTCAAGCCGCTCTGATGAAGATTTCTAACCGACTGACTTCAGAACCGCTGACTTGAGAAAAGGCTTAGGGAGGGCCGTCCGCAGCACAGCTGAGCGGCGGGAGTCGCGACCGCCATTTTGCGTGCCATGACGACAGCCGCCCCCCCCCTTCGATTTAAAGCGTGTTTCTCTGTTCCCTTTCGCTTCACCGGCAGATCAGTTAAGGCCAAGGCTCCTACTGCCTATTGCATCAGGTATCCTATTATTATTTAAGCCGGCCTGTCTCTGGAATTCTTGTCCTGACTGAGACCACATTTCTGAGGAGGCAGGGCGCTCCCAAAAGCCCTCAGTAGGCGGATGCCATTTTAGATCGTTGGCTTGCTGGGTGATTTGACAATGGAGGGATTCAATTTCCCTGCCAGGCCACAGCAAGCCTTATTCCTCAGGGAGTCTAGGCCTACGGTTGCCTCAAAGGAATACATGAGAAATTAAGTCAGAGGCCTTTCCTTTGTCTTTTATCCTTTTGCCTTGTACAGCAACCCTCAGCCTAGGTCTGCATTACTGTACTGGTTGAGATCAGAGTCTAACAAAAATTATTAAACCTCTTTTAAATCACACCACACGAAGTGGCTAGCCCGCCTTTGGCACTGCCGCCACCACCTAGGCCAGTGCGCAGGCACTTATCGCTCAGGTGATTTGCTGCCACTAACAGTGACATGTGTGCTGGCGCTTGCCAATTGTTTTGGCCGCCACCGTCAGCCTGACCACTGCGCCATCAGTGCGCTCTCAGGCATTGATAGCCATCAGGAGCATTCTGGTGTGCAAGAGGCCAATATTTGGTCCAGCGGCCACCATTGTCTGGAGCAATTACTGGCTCTTTCCAGTATCTGGGATAATAACCACCCAGTGCTCAGCTCCTATACCTTGAGATCCTTCTCAGAACAGCACTGAGGGATCTCTACCGTGATGGCAGACAACGCAGCTCCTCAGACTGTGCACGGTGCTTCTGGCACTCCTGCCAAAAAGAAGCGTAAGTCCTCCAAACTAGAGGCTGCAGAGAAGCTTAAGGCCAAAGCCAAGGCTATCTCGAGCAAAACACCCTCTAAGGCGGCTGAGAAGGAGGCCAGTAGGAGGCACCTTGCCTTGGAAAGACAATTCTCCAAGGCTCAAAAACAAAACGCAAGCGGTACGGTCCAGGCCCGGAACGAGCATGGTCCCCGGAAGGGGAGACCAGACGGGGAGGTGAGACCCCTTAACCAGGGACCATGCCCTCAATGGGTGGCTCCTTCGCCTAGGACTCAGGGCCGGAAGCCACATTTATGCCCACAGCGCCTGGACTCCGTCCCTTTGACTCTCACGGGGTGTGGCCAGAGCAGTTTCAAGCCTTAATTGCCCAAGCTTTTGCCCAGGGCATGACCTCCTCATTTCACCAGAGGCCCGGGCCCGAATCTGCGCCACCAATGACAACATCTTACTACCAAATAGACCCCATTCCAGAATATCCGGGTTCTGTTTCCTCCGACCGGTCTTCTCAGGACAAAGAGTCATACTCGGGGGAAGAAGTATCAAGGGACATACAATTGATGGAGGATGAAGAATCATCTCTGGACCCTTCCCCCTTCGTAGGCTTATTTGACCCAACGCTGTTTAGGTCGCTATTGCTCAAAGCAACCATTTCAGCCAAGATTAGCCCTGATCAGGAGCCTCCACCAGTTCCTTCCATCAGCCAAGACCCAAAACCACTGTTCTCCGAGCCTACGGTCACCCAGAGGCATATCCCTTGCCCCCCCTTTTTTCTAAATACCATTAAGAAACAATGGGGATCTCTTGGCACCCCCCCACACCAGAGGAAACGGACACGAATCTCTTTAATGTCGCCTCTGCCTTATCCGAAATCCTGGAGGTTCCAGCTGTGGATGAATTCCTAACCGCTCTTTTCCTCCTCCACCGTATCAGGGGACATGGCTGAAACCTTAAGAGCTGAGGACAGAAAATCCGAGTTTTCCCTACACAGGTCTCACCAAGCCTTGGCATGGTCAGTAAAGGCATCCACATCCACCTCCTTCGCCAGAACCTCCATCATATGGCTCCGAGAGCTCCAGGCCATGATTCCCCAGGAACAGGTACGCGCCCACCAGAACCTGGGTAAGTTACTGGCGACATCGGAATACATGGCAGATGCATCACTACACGCTGCCAGGTTCTCATCCCGAGCCATAGCCTCCAATGTAACAGCCCGCAGGCTCCTATGGCTTAAGCAATGGCGAGTGGACTTAAAATCAAAATGGCGCTTATCTACCGCCCCTTACACTGGCGGACAATTGTTCGGAGAGGCCCTCAACCCTTATCTGGTGGAGAACTGAGACAAGCGCAAGGTGATGTCCCACCTTTCCAGACAGGCTGACAGAAAGTCTAATCTGTACTTCTGCAGACAGCCATTTCGTTCGGGATCAGGATCGGAGTGGGCGCAGCCTCCCCGTTCCTTTCCTCCCAGGCCTGACCACCAATTGGAATGTTCTGGTCCCAGGCCCAGGCAACAGTTCCAGTCCATGCGCCCTTTCGAGGCACGGGAGGCCGTCCCTTTAGAAGAAATAAGTGACTTCAGGGAGGGGCTCCCCATAGGTGGCAGACTTTCCCTCTTCATCCACAAATGGGAGGCCACCACCACAGATACTTGGGTACTCAGCACCATCAGGGGCGGCTTGTCCCTGGAATTCTTGTCC